AAATAAATAAATATAATAATTATTATTTAATGATGCCCGAAGCAAATTTTTTAAACAGTCACATGAATGAATTAACGTCGCATACATATATTTTTCTAATAGTTTTGTAAAAAATGTTCAAATTTGATGAAATCTACGCATATTTTAAATAAGAAAAAAAAACTTCCAAAAAAGGTTTCTACTCTCAAACCATTTTTGGGTCATTTTCGATAGAGGTACCATTGTCGACTTTTTTTTTATTTCTTGAACGAGAAACATACATGTATATATTAAACACAAAGTTGAAATTTAAATAATTTATTAATTACTTCGAATATTTAATTTCTATGTAAAGGAATCAACTTAATTTCTATATAATTGTCATCGTCTTTTTTAAGTTTAAAACTTCCAAAATCTAAAAAAGCTTCAAAATATTGTTTTTAATATTATTATTAAAAGATTTGATCTTAATTTTTAAGAAATAACCATTTGTTAATTAATATTTTTAATTTAATTTTTATTCGTTCTTTATTGATATGATATCTAAAGAATAAGAATCCATAATAATTTCTTAAAAGATAAATGTGAGTGAGGGTTCTCTAGCCATTGATTCTCTAGCCAACTAATATATGAATCTATTAAATACAAAATAAAATAATAAATGATTCTCTAGCCAACTAATATATGAATCTATTAAATACAAAATAAAATAATAAAAAAAAACTTGTAAAGTTACCTTAATAAATAAGATAAAGAATAAACACACAAAAATAAATAAGATAAAGAATAAACACACAAAAAGTGCTTACTAAATCAAAATCTTACTCGATCAAAATTTTGCACTTTTGGAGCAGTGAACATGTCAAGATCAAAGGTGCTTACTCGGTCACAATTGCACTTTTTAGGTCAATGTCATGATCATAATACACACTAATAGTTAATATCTTCATTGTTACAAAATTCGAGATCGAACGGGAACCAAAATCTCCACAAAGAGAATCGAGTTCCAAAATAAAATTATTCTTCATTTAGGTTCTAATTTTTTAAAGACAAACTTAGTTGACTCATTTGAAACTTTTAAACTAAATAGTTAACTTTTCACTTAAATTATTTATTTAAATGGTTAATCCAATCTCCCCTAGAAACAAAAGGGATCAAATTATCAAATACGTAATTCAAATATATCAAACTACGGATGTAATCAAACAATAACATTTGACATTTAAATATTATATATTATTGCAATCAGCTCCCGAGAATTCATCGTCATCATCACACAGACACACACCAACAATTGAGTTGTTCAAAAGGCATCAATGGATTTGATGATTCCTCATGCTTCTGCTTTCATTTTACCAATTTTGTCTTCATCTAAAGCTTTGACAGCGAAGGAGAATCCAAGACGAACCACTCATTTCAATAACTAATACAGATGCATATACTTCTGAGAATTGTTCTTAATATTCGCACACAGACAGACGGTTCAACAATGGATTTCAATTCTACAACAATGAGACTCCGTCACAAACAAGAGGAACTCGCACAAAATCTCTTGATTTTTAGTCAGTAAAATTACTCCACAATGTAAGAACAAAATTTCTGTTCCTAACAATCATGTAAAACAGGACACGGTCCGAAAAATTAATATAACAAAAAGAAGATCATAAGAAAGAACGAGAACAGGCTCCTTAGGGATTGGATTATCTATGAGCAGTTACCAAAGTCTCAATGAACCTCAATCCATCGAACCTCGGCGCAAATTTCTCCTTCTCCGCTGACGAATCCGAACCGCAGCCTCTGTTAGAACCGGATTCCGAAACGAAGCCCTAAAAACACAATACAGCAGATCAAAAACCGATCGAGACAATAGAATTGAAAATGGAACATTCGAAGTCGAAAGCGATGAAGATTTTACCTCGCGAGAGGGAGGATTAAGAGCGAGATCGCGATCTTCATTAGAGGAGGACGAAGAGGAGGAGAAAGCCATGGTCGAAGCGGCGAGGACCGAAGCGAGTAACGTACAGGAGCCTTTCATGATTCGTCGGAGCGGACGGTGAGGAAATCCGACGACAGTCGCCGGATCTCGGCGGATTTAGGGGGAATGGGGAAGAGAATCGGAGATGAAATTTAGAAGACGCCGCTGAATATTGACCTCAGAGCGCTGAAAATGGGATGGAGGGATTTGTTGTTATATTCTGCTAGTCTCGCGTGTATTTATGTGTGTTCGGAAATTTCGCATTTAACGAAATTGAATTTGGATTTAAGATCCGCTCCTTCGCTTTGTTTTCCAGCTACCTCATTCTACGCTGTCCATTCACTTCGTATCTCGTGGACCCCGCTTGCCGACGTGGCGCTCCATATTTATACAATAAAAAATGGAAAAAAAAAATACAAAACATAGTTGGCCAATTTGGTCGGTTTGTGCCAAGTTTCGATTTTTTTTTTCTTTCAAATTTTTAAATTTATTCATTTTAAAATTTCGTGACTACGTACTAATAGAGATACTATTTCTTATTTATAAATTCATGATCTTCTATTAAATTAATCAACGTGCGATTCACTCTTAATAATTTGTTGAAAATTTTTAAATTAATTATAATAAATTGAGATTAACTTCAAATTTCAATTTTTTCCACTCATATCGTGGCGTGTAATATTACGTGAAAAAAATATTATAAATTGAAAATATAAACAAATGGCAAGGATAAAATGGTAATTTAGAAGAAAATAAATTAACACCGTTTGTTCTATTGAAGTTGACGTTGACGGCACCGCAGCCGTTGGATGGGACGTTAAGCGGGTCCCACCGTGGTAACACGGTACGAATGACAGTAGGCAATAAAATCTCAGAAGATGCCTTGAGTGATGCTAAATGTGGTGGGACCAGGGACAACGGCAAGAGGTTGAGATTTGTGTTTGGAAACACGTTTAACGTATGGTTTCGGCAGACCGGTTTGGTCCCCGACGGTCGGTCCCCATTAAAGCCGACCAGATTTTTAGGAAATAATTTGGAGATAATAATATATTTATGGAAAAGAAAAAAAAAACCTAAATAGTTAATATGTTAAATTCATTATTAATTGTCCCAACTAGGATGGACACCACAATCCACCCCTTTAGTCTCAGTATTTTTATTGACACACCGCCTCACGTCTACCTCTTTTGAGGAAGAGCGAGAATGCTGGTAGATTGTCTTCTTTGGGCTTTCCCTTCCGAACTTTCCTTCAAGACTTTAAAACACATCTGTTAGGAGAAGGTTTCAACACCCTTATAAATCGTGTTTTATTCTCCTCCCAACCAATGTGGGACATCACATTTTGTTATCTATAATTTTTAACAATCTATCGACATTTTGAAATAATAAATATTTTTTTTCAATTATTAGTGTACGATTGTATGAGATCATGAGATAAGGTAAATAGAATTGTTTAATAAAATATGGACATTCTCAAGAAATTTAGAAACGAGTGAAATAAGCAACCACGATAATGCTAAGAAAATTTTGTAAAAAAAAAAAACTAATTTTCAAGGTACCATTTGTCAATGCCACATTGGCTTTTACTTCCACGCTGTCTTTTCGAGATTTGGATGAATACTTTGAAGTATTAAAATCATCACAAAATTAAAAAGTTCGTTATTATCAAAACGTCTGATATGATTGATGCTCATAAAGCCACGACATATCACCCACATTTTAGTCTCCGATTTTGAAAATATATATATATGTAGATGGATTAATAATAATAAAAAAATCTAGTTATATTTTTTATTTTAATTTAAAATCGAAAATTTAAATTAGATTGGATTAAATTGAATGGGTCTAAGTATTGAAATGTGAATCCATTGCGTTGGTTGACCCGAACTTGCTTTAGCGTGGACCCCACCGTTACGCGATATTTCTAGTCTTTTCGCGGGGGTTCGGTCGCCGTTCAATGCAAGCTGCGGGACCACATTAGTCACCTCACCGCCGCCCAATTTCCAACGACCAACCTTTTCTTCTTTCTTTTTTAATTTTTCTTTTTCTCTTTTCCACAAATAAATAGATTTTCCCCTTAAATTACAAAGCTTAAATTAATAATAATAATAATAATAAATACCCCTAATTTTTTAATCGGTTTTAAAAAAATACTTTTAAAATTTTTACAAAATTAAAAATACCATCATTTAAAAAAAAATTACTATTATCATTAATTTTAGATAAAGATGGTTAATATTTAATTTTTAATGTTGTTTTAAAAATACTGTCTATTAACTTCTTATCAATTATCTCTATTTTTAAAAATTTCATAAATATTTTTGAAATATAATAAGATAGAATAAATATTTTGAATTTTTTTTTAGAAAATTAATTGTGTTTTTGAAATTTTTAAAAAGTTTAAAATATTAATTAATTTTTAAAAACTTAAAAATAAAAAATTAATTATTTTTTAAAGTTTAAAACATTCAAAAGTTTCTCCTTAAAATTAGCGAAAATATTTTTTTTTGAACGTTTATGAAAATTTTAAAAGTTTAAATTTAAAAGGGTAAAATATAAAAGTATTTTTAAATTTATTATTATTATTATTCTAAATTTTTACAAATTAATTAATATCGAATTAACCTATCAATTTAACTTTATTAAAAAGGTTAGTTAGAGAATTTCAAAATTAAGAATAATTTATAATATAGAATCAATCTAAATAATTAAAATTAAATTAAACGTGACACTTTCTTTTTTAGCTTTGAATTAAACTTATATTATAAACTCTAATAAAACGCCATTTTCATTCAATTAACTTTATTTTATATTTTTTTAATATTTAAATTTAGTCCTCTATTTTTAATAAAATTTAAAATTAAATATTTAATTTTATAGAAAAGGAAAAATATAATTAAAGGAAAGAATAAATTCGGGGTATTTGGAAGTCTTCGGTCTTAAGTTGACGGACCCCATACGCTAAATTTAAAAACAAAATAAGATAGAATGAAATCCGCGGCTTCAAGAAACCTCTGGGAATTTGGAATCCAGAAAAGGTAAGGAAACTCCCGCTTTGTTCCCTTTATAAGCCCCTCCGCCCTCCCTCCCTTCTCCACAACCAAACCACCGCCGATCCAGCAATCAACCGCCGCATCAATTTCAAGATGAATTCCATGTTCAGTTTCTTCGATGCCTTCGCCGCCGAGATCCTCCTTGGAAAGTTCGTTACGGCTTCTACTTCTGTCCCTTCTTTCACTCCGAACACCGGCGGCGGTGGTTCTGCCTCTTCCGCTCCTGTGAAGTCGATGCCGGGAAAGAAGGAAGAAGCTAACGCCGTAGCCAAGTCCAAGAACTCGTTGATGAAGCCGAGATTCGCTCTGGAGCTCGATGGCCTCAATTGCTTTGAGACTCTCGTCCCAAATTGAGGTCTCCTATGATCGTGATTCTGTTATTATATCTTACTCCATTCTTCTGATTCTTTCAATTTTAGGAAATTCTTTTGATTCTTTCAATTTTAGGGTTTAAATTAGGTTATACGAGATTTAGGGATTCTAGTATGTGAATGAAAATACAGAGTGCTTTCTTGTTCTTCCTTCTTCTGTTACACGGAATTAGATGATTGATTCCGTTCCGCGTTTAGTTTTTTTGGAATTTCGATATGAAATTAATTACTCTTCTCCTTCTTCCTTGTTGTTCTTCATGTTTTTCATCTCCTTTTATGGAATTATTAAGAACTCACTCATTACAAAATCAAACTTTAAAAGTTCTATTTTATTTCCAGATTACGAGGTTGAACACTTTAATTTATTCCTTGCCCAAATTACAAGAACCAATTTATCACGATTAGCTTTAATCCAGAACTATATTCTAAAAAGGATGGCAATAAAACAAGATAGCTTCTTAATTTCCACTATTTTATTCCATAAACACTCCCCCATCTGAGTAAGAAAAACGGAGAATTGAGGGTTTATATGAAGCCTAAATCTATGTTCAATCATCTCTTCTTCCCTACAATCTAAAGCTTCTTTTTACAACTCACAAGGGGAAATTCCAAAACCAAATCTACCACCTTCAAAGGGCTTTCTCTTTGTGTGTCACTCATGAAAACAATGCTAAGCTGAATCTGATTATGAGATTTGTTGTACTGATCATCTCTTTGCAATGTTCAAACATCTTCGGGCGACTCCGATCACGACCGCTTTGGTTAAGAGCCCGTGATCGAGGCTGCAAGCAAGGGCGATCGCTCCGCCCACCATAAGAAGCTTTGGTAAATTCTTCCCTGCTGCAGGTTTCTCAGAGGGCTCCAAACTTTTGACCTCTGAGGAACCATCATCATTATCAGATGCATCTTCTGAGCATCTCATCACATACTCTGAACTCATCATTGTGTTGATATTAGCCATCACAGCACAGTTTGAAAGCGGCGCTTCGGAAGCTCTATGCTTCTGATATGCACGTAAAGCGGGATCGATCTTCTTGACGGCTCCCCACATCCCTTGCCTGATCCCCAGCTTTGCAATTTCCCATGGGATACCCATGTCTTCGTAGTGAAATAGTATCACCTCGCACGCACTCATCTCGCCGTTGCCCCTTCTCGATTCAGCTGTTTCCATGTAGCAGCAGAGAAACAGCTGTTTAGTTGTCTAGGAGACGTGAATGTCAAGGGGGGAAGAATTCAACCATGACCAACGCATTAAAATAAATAAGATGACTATGAACTTGGCTCTACCTGCACGGATGCACCAACTTGAATAGTAAAGGTCAACTCGTCTTGGCTTCTTCTGTCTTGGTATCAAGGAACAAGGTACGCCCTGAATCAACATTAAACCAAGATAGATATTATTTCCAACTTTTGAACATCCAATTGTTTCAAAATAATCATAATTTTTATAGACAAGTGGCTTGAAAAGTTGACCATTGTGACAATCCTAGACGGTGTCATGTGCCACGTCAATATTGAGTACCAGCGTCTTCATTGACACAAGGCATCGATGTTTGGTTCTAAGCCTACTTCTAGCAAATATTGTCTGTTTTGGCCCATTACATATTAGTCGCTAGCCTCATGATTTTAAAAGGCGTCTACTAGGGAAAAATTTCGATGTGAGATCTCACAATCCACTCCCTTGGAGGCCTTCTACACCCTTATCATGCTCGACTCCTTTGAGCATAATATTGTCCACTTCGAGCATAATATTGTCCACTTTGAGCATAAGTTCTCATGGCTTGTTTTGGGCTTCCCCAAGAGGCTTCATGCTAATGGAAAGAGTATTCTTTGATTATAAACTCATGATCATTTTCTAAATTAGCCGATGTGGGACTTTCATCATCCAACACCTCCCCTCGGACAAAGTACACCTCCCCTCGAACAAAGTACACCTCCCCTTAATCGAGGCTCGACTCCTTTTCTTTTGTGGTTTGTTCCCTTCTCAAACCGATGTGAGATCTCACAATCTACTCACTTGGGGCCAGCATCCTCTCTAGCACAACGTTCGATGTATGGCTATGATACTATTTGTAATAGTCCAAAGGCTCCCGATTAGCCTTATCCTTATGGTTTTAAAACATATCTACTAGAGAGAGGTTTCTACACCCTTGTAAGGAATATTTTGTACTCTCTCCTATCGACGTGGGATCTCACGTTGAAGGGAACTTGTGAAGTTTATGATTAAGTGCAATAGACTGAAGTCTAAAACATATAAAAATACCAAACTTCAACAAACTTTCAATGGAAGATCCGAAGAAAAGATGAACATGGAGAAATGGGTAGACAGGCACAGCATGTCTGACCTTCGTCACACAGTAATAAGCCTGTCCCGATTCCCAGATTCTTCGTCCGATCGTGTAATCTCGATCGCTGCAGAAGAAAGGGAACTGCAGGAACAACAACAACAACAAATCAATGAGAAAACCATACACATAACGTTAAACAAACACAGAGACAAGAATGGAACTTCACTCACCTTGCGCACCCAGTGGACAGTCATGTTCCCTGTGGTCGGACATTGCTCCAATGTCCGACCACTTATAAGCATATCATCCCATTTCATTCTGAATTCATCATCCCAAAACAGATCCCTCACCATCTCAGCCGTCGCATCCTCAAAAATCGTTCGACTTCGGTACTGCGGCGGCCCCCTCTACCAAAACAACAGCAAACAACACCATAAGGGCTATAAAACACAAGAACAATACAGAAATAAATGGATAGCTAGCTACCTCAGGGTCTCTCCGCCATGCTTGATAGCTCATGGTAGAGGTAGAACGATCCATCATCTGAATCCATGACGGCCCTCCATCTTTCTCCTCAACAAGCTTGTACAAATACTTAAAATCCTCCTCCGTTAGCTCAGCTGGTGCTGATGAACTGTGGTTAACAATTTGTATTAGAAATCATCGCAACTTGTTCTTCATCATATGGAAGAGTTTAAGCAACAAACCTGGAGATAGAAGCTACAACTTCTTGTTCTTCTTGTTCTTCTTGTTCTTCTTGTTCATCTCCACAATTTGACGTCAAATTCAAGCATTTAGGCAGAATGTTCAAGGAATTCAAACTAGAAATTGATCCCACAAAGCAAGATGTCGGCAGATTATCCTTCAACTTGGACGAAATGAACAAACCCTTATTGGAATCCACCCATTTGGGCTTCCAAATCCATCCCACAAGCACTCCCACAATAATCCCCACCCACAAACGAGCAACAAACATCAAAATCATGAACACTGAATCGTAAGCAGTGGGAGGCCCCGCCGACTCCAACAAGAACGAGTCCACCGCCATCATCCCCACCAAAATCAAATGACCCACAAACACAAAAAGCGAATGGAATCGAAAGAACCCAACAGAGAATCAAAGAACTGAAGAACACGAAAGAATACCGGGATTCGGATATAGTTCTTCCCCTTTTGCCTCGTTTTCAGCAGAGGCGCATCAGAAATGGATAAGAATCCAGCGATGATAGGCGGCGAAGTCGTAAGAACCAGAAGAATTCCTCTGGTAATTACACAAAGTTGGGGCCTCTCTCGTGACTTAAATAAAGGGTTCTCTCAAAATCCCCAAAAGAGTGAAGGATTTTGGCCGAACTTAGGCTGAAAGGGCAGGTGGGTATGGTGGGTCTTTCTCCAAAACGCCAATAAAATGCCCAAATTCCACGTTTCAAACTAAATTTCTTCTCCCTTTTTCAACTCCCTGAAAATTTGACCATAATTACGAGTCGAATTAGTGAGTTTTTGGGGCGTTAATAAAGATGGGTTGTTTTTTTCTCTGATAATCAAAAGATTAAGGAGGAAACTAAATTATTTTTGCTAAAATTAAGAACTGAATACCCCTTTTTTCAGCCTTTTCCACATTTTGAGGTTGGAATGGATAAGGATAAATCAAATGTTCTTAGCAGTTGAGCATTTCTCCTAGAAGTGGACTATGTTAGACAAACACGACCTCTCCATGAGCTCGGGCTTTTCCAAAAGGCCTCACACCAGTGGAGTTAGTATTCCTCACTTATAAACCCATGATCATTCCTTAAATTAGCCGATGTGGGACTTCAATCATCCAACAGACTAAACCTTGTCCTTTGAATCCTTAAGGTTAATGAACAAAGACCGATTTGATATATGTATATATAAATCATAGATAATTAAATAAGATTAAGAACACATTAAAAGCACGTAATTTACGAGAAACAATTTAAAAAAATATCGATATATACATATTTAAGAGTTTTAAAGCCTACATGGGACTCTCGTAGGTCATAGACTATTACTCTTATCTTCGTCGAGGCTTGGTCAGCTCATCTATAACATAAGAGTCATATTTTTGGTTAAGTTAGCCCGTATGAGCTCGTTGTAAACATAAGTATCTCTCAGATGAGCTTATCTCAACTATTGGGTTCGAGTAATCTAATTTATCTAATTATGTATTATCAAAACAATTTTTTTTTTTTTTTTTTTACTTTTTTTTTTCTTTTTTGCATGAAAAACACGTGTGTTGTGATCCATAATTGGGGTGAGTGCTGTTTTTTTTTGTTTATACTTTTAAAAGGAAAAAAAAATACCAAATTTTTATGAATTTTGAGAAATAATAATTTGTAACGTAAAAGAACTTGCCAAATTAACTTTGAGTAGATAAATTCATAATAAAATAGAATTTAAACCTCTTACTTTCTTTTAAATAATTAAAATTTCGCCTTTAATCGGTTAAGAACAAGATACATTGTATAACGAAGATCGTTGATATCAGCTCGATGCAAAGTAGAACTAACGATAACTTTTCTTTTCATGTTATAATTCAGCCAATTTTTTTCATTAAATATTGTGAGAATCAGGATAGAGATTTCAAGTTTCCCGCCCAGAATTATTTCCTTGTTCAAAGTATTAGTCTCGGGAAAAGTTCACATATTCAATGTCTCTATTCCTATTTAGGTCACGGGAAAAACGTCTCCCTCCCCCACCTAGCTCCACATGTCAATTTATGTACGTATATAATGTAGGTGTCGTCTTTATTTGTACACGAAAAATCTTTCACGTAACCTTTTTTTTTTAAAAAAAAAGAAAAAAAGAAAAAAAAAATTATTTCTGCTGAGGAAAGAATATTAGAAATATTAATTCAAATAAAATATTTTTAAAATCGAATATTTTCAATTCATTAATGAATAAATTAAAAGTGCAGACCTTAAAATTTATATTTAACAATGTATCTGTAAAGTTAAACTTTCACTTTTGTATTTAATAAATTTTATAAATTTAGAAAAATATTGAATATGTCCAGAAGATTTAAATACAAATTTAAAAGTTTAGGGATTTATTAGAGATTTTTTTAATGTTTAGAGACTTATTAAACACGTAAAATTATAAGTTATGAATAATTGAATATATAAAGAATCACGATTTTTCTATCGTAGATTGGGTAAGTACATTTTATTTAAAGAGTTAACTCGAACGATGACAAAATTTGATTAGGGTTAGATGCTATTTTGTGAGATCCTACATCGAGTGGAGAGGGGAACGAAACGTTCTTTATATGGGAGTGGAAACCTTTCCCTAACAGGCGTGTTTTAAAATTTTAAGAGAAACCTGGAAGCGAAAAGAACGAACAATATTTACTAGCGGTAAGTCATTTAATCATAGTTGAAGTAAGTTACGATCTCATCGAAACAGGTGGTAATACACGACCGACCTAATAAACTTTTGAATCTTAGTCAAAGATTTTTAGTTTAGAAGTCGATGAAAATTGAAATACTTTTTTAAAGTAGCTTATGAAACTACTCCAAATGCCCATTCATTGTTGAATATATAACTCATAACAATCATAACAAAAGGTCACAATCCAAAAAGAAAATGTACTACCGACCACTATTTTGATTTTTTACACGTTTTTTTTTTCTCGGGTTTTCGTTCTAGCTAGATGACCACTTTCAACTAGAGACGTTTACGAAACGGGAGACGAGAAACCTTTTCTATCTCAATTCTCGTAAATTTTTCATTTATTTTTTTTCAAAAATTGGAATGGAGATTCCTTACCGTAAATTTTCGGAGATCAAATTTCTTACATGTGTGTATATATATATATACACATTTGGGGCGAAGGATTGGTTAGGGACGGAGACAAAGAATATAATCCCTGTTTTCAGTCCCTTTAGTTGAGAAATTTCTCTATATTGTTCGGTTTAGAGTGAGTCCCAACTCTTAATTTTGACAGATATATTTTAATTTCTATTAAATTTTCTTATACCCATTTTAAAAGAAAAGTAAATAATTAATTTTGTGATAAAAAAAAAAAATCACAGAAATATATGATTTAAAATTTTATTTTACAAACGTTTTAATTAAAAAAAAAAAACCTAACAAATTACCATAATTTGAAAAAAATTAAAAAATGATTCATTAAAGAGAATGAACAACACTAAGTCTGTCACTTTGAATGGCATGCACTGATTACAATACCAAAAACTGTAACATATTTGGTCAAATTTTGGTGAAACATTTGACATTGTTAAAAAAAACATAAACAAGAAAAGGAATGATATGAACACATGATTTTAAAAATTATTATGTTTCTATAATAGAACACAACAAATTTCCATACTCAGAATCAACACATAGCCCAGATTCCATGAATCACACACTTTCAAAGGCAGGCATATGAATGCAGTGGGAGATGGTACCTCCAAACTTAATCAATACCCATTGCCTTGTAACGATGATATCCACAGACTAAGATGGAGATATCAAATTCAAAGGCTTTCTAGAAACTGGTGTGCCAGATTGCCTCTTCACCTTCCCCACACCTCTGGTGTACCTCCTCCATTCTCTCCACTGATTTGCAGATGCCACTGCAACTCCAATCGAATGATGCACCACAGGGATTCCCAGCTTCAGCCTTCCATTCACAGTCTGCATCCATGAAATGTGAATCAAAACAAAGCGTATTTCGACACGATGAGACGGTGGTGAAGGGAATAGTCGTTGTTTTACCGAGTGGAGTGCTACAGCAAAGACTCTTATCATCGATGTGTTCGACATCAAGACCAATGAACCATGAACCTAAGGAAACATCTTCATTTGCATATCTATGTAGTATGGGCCTACAAGAAGAAGAAGCAAATTCTGACAGATGATTATTAAAATGCTGAGAGAAATAACCTCTTTGAACTTTCCCTTAAAGTTTTTAAAACGCTTCTCCTAGGGAGACGTTTCCACGTCCTTATAAGGATGTGGAATTGTGAGATCCCACATCGGTTGGAGAGAGGAACGAAACATTCTTTATAAGGGTGTGGAAGCCTCTCCTTAGCAGACGTTTTAAAAACCTTGAAGAGAAAGTCTAAAGAGGACAATATCGGCTAACGGTGGACTTGGGTTATTACACGCAGCGACCGAAACGACTTACCTATTAACTGAAATGTAGATAGCTAAATCTTTGGAGATGCCATAAATTTGCCCAGTTGCATGCCTAAAATACTTATTGCCTTCCTCACCAAATTTCCAGTATTCAGGTTCATGATACTTTTCCTCTCTGCAAAGATTTTACGGCGTAACGTTCCAAGGACGTAACATTTACGAGTATAGAGTGTTTAATTTGCTTACTTTTGAACAAAAACTGGACCCGACTTCATGCAACCAATATAAACACGTGGTTTCGATCTATGACGAGCCAAGGTAGAACCAACCATACCTGTGATTTTCACAAATCAGTTTAGGTATAAAGGCAATAATCCTAGAATGTGAGAATGCTAACCAAGATTTATATGAACATCGTCATCAACTTTGATGAAGAAATCAGCATCCCATTTAGCAACTGCTGTTGAAAAGTATATTTGGGTTTTGGAGGATAATTCACGATATCCTTCTATGTGGTTCTGTAAGAAAACAACCCAAGTTTAGAGGTTTATCTAACAAAGAATGTAGCAAATCAAAGTACATATTAGCTACTTTAGTTTTGGATATAGACATGCCTTGAAGCAGATATTAGCTATGTGTTGGTGTTATATCAAGAATAAGAGAAGCTGGCACATTATGGTGTACATGTGGTGGTTGCTGTTTTTTGAAGCTCTGGTTGAGAAAGGGTTGAATAACATTTGGTACAAATCACTCCCTCAAAGTGTCTCTGTTTCCCAACCCCCACGCCCCATATTAGGGGAAAAAAGGACTAGCTGAGAAAGGGAGCTTTCCTCGACGAAGAAGGTAGTGATGACGAGCTGGTTATTTCCGAATACGTGTCGAGAAAATAGAATGTGCTCTATGGATGGTTCATGGCTTTATCAAGCATTGTGCAAGTCTCTGAGAGTAAATTGTGAGATTCTACATCGCTGGGGAGGAGAACGAAACATTCTTTATAAGGGTGTGGAAATCTCTCCCTAGTAGACGTGTTTTAAAAACTTTGAGAAGAAGCCCAGAAAGAAAAGCTTAAAGAAAACATATCTAATAGTGGTGGGCTTGAGCCGTTACAATTAGTATCGGAGTTAGACACCAGACGGTGTGCAAGCGAGGTGAACCCCAAAGGGGGGTGGACACCGAGCAATGTGCCAGCGAGGACATTGGGCCCTAAAAGGGGTGGATTGTGAGATCCCGTGTTGGTTGGGGAGGAGAACGAAGTATTCTTTATAATGGTATGAAAACCTCTCCCTAGAAAACACGTTTTAAAAACCTTGAAGGGAAGCCCAAAAGGAAAAACTCAAAGAGGACAATATCTGCTAGCGGTATGCTTGAGCCATCACAAATGGTATTGGAGTTAGACACCATGCAGTGTGCAAGCGAGGACATTGAGCCCCAAAAGGGGATGGACACCGAGCAATGTGTCGGCGAGGATGTTGGGCCCTGAAGGGGGGTGGATTGTGAGATCCCACATCGATTAGGGAGGAGAACGAAGTATTCTTTATAAGGGTGTGGAAACCTCTCTCTAGCAAACACGTTTTAAAAACCTTGAGGGGAAGCCCAAAGAATACAATATCTGCTAGCGGTGGGCTTGGGCCATTACAAACGATATCGGAGCTAGAAATTGAACAGTGTGCAAGCAAGGACACTGAGCCTCGAAGAGGGGGAGGACACCGAACAGTGTGCCAACAAGGGCGCTGAGCCCCGAAGGGGGGTGGATTGTGAGATTTCACATTGATTGGTGAGAGAAACGAGTGTCAACAAGGATGCTAGGCCCTGAAGGGGGGTGGATTGTGAGATCCCACGTCGTTAGGGAGAAGATCAAAGTATTCTTTATAAGGGTGTCAAAACCTCTCCCTAGCAGACACGTTTTACAAAACAAAAGTATTCTTTATAAGGGTGTAGAAGTCTCTCCCTAGCAGACGCGTTTTACAAAACCTTGAAGGGAAACCCGAAAGGAAAAGCCCAAAAAAGACAATATCTGCTAGCGGTGGACTTGGGGTATTACACCACCTATAGGCTATTTGTATCATAATACTAACAGTTACATACCAGTCTTAGAAAATCCTTGTGTTGTGCCTCCTCAGCATCAACCGCACGATCCAATACGCCACCAGGAGTTGCACTAAGAACCATAGCATACAAAATTAACTATTAGATTACGAAACACGAGAGTTCACAATAAAGAAACTTCATGCATTTATGAAAACTCTACCTATGTCCAATGACAAAGCGTATTATAATTCCCTTCTCCACCTCCAGCTTCCTTAAATCTTCACCTAAATGAAACAAAACCATGTGTCACAAGGAACAAGTTTGATCCAAAATCAGAAAACATAGCAACAGAATGACAATGTTGTGTTTGAACCTCGAGGCATCCATGTTTCTCTAATCGAGTCTCTACGCTTTCGGCTGCTGAAGGCCGTAATGATTCCCATAACAAAGAAAACCTTCGGCCGCTCCTTCAAATTCTCGATTCCGAGCTCTGTAACCATAGGAGATCCTTCATTGTTATCTGCTTTAGAAGCTCTAGCTGTAGCTAGCTGCACCTCCAATGATGAGATTGTTTTGTCTAATGTCCTGAAGAGCTCATGTCATAACATACTTCAAACGTAGGATGGATAATATTGTTAAGATCGCACAACAACGCATACACTCAATTTAGATGAACACAAAGAACAAGAGAGAGAAAATGCACGGAGGAATATTGGCTAAATGATTTGTATTGATGACTTCAAGTACGTACACCAAAAGAGAATTAAAGCACTATCTAAACAGATATAACCACCTATGAAATATCTACCATATATATCTCTATCAGATTAGAGCACTTCTTGAATAATACACATACAAGCAAGAGACTAAAACTCACATGATAACATCATGGGTCTGCGATAGTTGAGAAAGAATATCAGCTTGTAGGGAGGGTTCCTGTAATATGAACACAGTCGTCAAGATATTGTAGTGAAGTTAATTTGTAACATTTATGTCACTCGCCTTCTTCTCACAGTTAACAATGGGCTGAGAAGTTTTTGATTGGACTTTGTCTATAGATACCTCCTCATCTGTTTCTTCAACAGGATCAGGCACACCCCAAAACCTGTAACACAAATATTAAAAAGAAAAAATTAATCTACCAACTTATACACCTAAATGCATAGAATGGAGAGGATATTGGAAATAAGAATCTGTCTTCTTTACAACAAATCTAGCCAAGCATAGAGCACAAGGAGCTCGTTTTATTCTGTCCAAACCCACCGCTAGAGAAATTGTTCTCTTTCGACTTTCCCCTCAAGGTTTTTAAAAAAATCTACCACTTTGGGGCCAGCGACTTTCCCTTTCAGGTTTCCCCCTCACGGTTTTTAAAACAATCTACCCCTTTGGGGCTAGTGTCCTCGCTGGCACTCGTTTCTCTCTCCAATCATACTCTACCCCTTTTGGGGCCAGCATCCTTGCTCGCACTTGTTCCTCTCTTCAATTGATGTGGGCTTTCCTCTCTCCAAACGCGTCTGCTAGGGAGAGGTTTACACATTCTCATAAAGAATGTTTCGTTCACCTCTCCAATCGACGTGGGATCTCACAATCCACCCCCTTTTGAGGCCCAGCATTCTTGTTGGCACACTGCCCGGTGTCTTCCCCCCTTCAGGGCTCAGTGTCCTCGCTAGCAAACTATCCGATGTCTGGCTCTGATACCATTTGTAACAGCCCTCTCCAATCGATGTGGGATCTCACAATCCACCCCCCTTCGAGGCCCAGCGTTCTTGTTGGCACACTGCCCGGTGTCCACCCCCTTCAGGGCTCAGTGTCCTCGCTAGCACACTATCCGATGTCTGGCTCTGATACCATTTGTAACAGCCCTCTCCAATCGATGTGGGATCTCACAATCCACCCCCCTTCGAGGCCCAGCGTTCTTGTTGGCACACTGCCCGGTGTCCACCCCCTTCAGGGCTCAGTGTCCTCGCTAGCACACTATCCGATGTCTGGCTCTGATACCATTTGTAACAGCCCTCTCCAATCGATGTGGGATCTCACAATTCACCCCCCTTCGAGGCCCAGCGTTCTTGTTGGCACACTGCCCGGTGTCCACCCCCTTCAGGGCTCAGTGTCCTCGCTAGCACACTATCCGATGTCTGGCTCTGATACCATTTGTAACAGCCCTCTCCAATCGATGTGGGATCTCACAATCCACCCCCCCCCCCTTCGAGACCCAGCGTCCTTGCTGGCACATTGTCCGGTGTCCACCCCCTTCAACACTCAATGTCCTGGCTAGCACACCGTCCGGTGTCTAGCTCTATACCATTTGTAACAGCCCAAGCCCACTGCTAGTAGACATTGTTATCTTTGGGCTTTTCTTTTTGGGCTTCCCCAAGTTTTTAAAACGCATTTGCAAGGGGAGGTTTCCACATTCTTATAAAGAGTGCTTCGTTCTCCTCCCCAACGGATGTGGGATCTCACAATCCACCCCCTTCAGTAATAAGGTTTCCACACCCTTATAAAGAATGCTTCATTCTCCTCCCCAACCAACATGGAATCTCACACTAAGACGATCCCAAAAGAAAGAAAAGAAAAGAAACCACATTGCAGATCTGTCCTATGGACCAAATTTTGAAGGATTTAAGCTTGTAAAACAGAACAAAAGTTCTCCATTTTCATGCATTTCTTCTCAGTAAGTAGACATCCAATATCAGATTCAACAATAAGCATGCTTCACTACCTACAGGAAAATAATCAACTATCCACTCAAGAACATAACCCACTATCCACATTGAAAATGGCAAAACCCAACAAGACGATTCCATTCAGTACAAGATCTCAGACACAAAAACGACAAAAGAAATAGTACCTGTGGACAACAAAAACACCCAAGAAGAAGCTAGCAATGCAAAATAGAAAAACCCATCTGGGAGAGAAACCATTGGCAACCTTGTGAGGTCTGCTCAGACCCATAACAGCCCAGAAGCTTTCAAAGCTCAACAAAGCGCCTCTAAGCTATTCTCTGAAGATTAAAAACGCCAGAAAGATTAAACGAAGTGAACCCATCAAAGAATGAACAAAATGAGTGTCCTAAGGAGACAGAGAATTGGGATTGGCATCCCAAAATGGGGAATTGAAGAATGGTTATCCTTTTGCTGGTCTCTTCTGTTTTGAGCTGTTCTGGGCATTCTTTGAATCGCTGGCTCATGGGGAATCTTAAAAGAATGGTATAATTCAAAAAGAATTGGACTCGGATACCTCTGCCAGGCCCCATCTGCCCGTAGCCGTCAAGGTCGAGCAGTATCTGAAGCAGCAGCAGCAGATGAATAGCTCTCGATTTTGGGGTCTTTTTCTTAGCATTGCTTTTCAACTCTATTTTCAAACATTTATTTGATAGCGTTAAATTACAATAAATACAAGTATATATACTTTACACAAAAATAGACATTACCCAAAAAAAAAGAAAATTATTTAATTTAATGTCAATTTTAATATTTATACTTTTACACTAAATTAAAAATAATAATAATAATCCAAAACAGTATATTTTTAAATACAATTCAACATTTAATAATATTCTTACACTTTCCAAAAAAAAAAATTAAAAAATTAAAATACTTTTAAAGATGCTTTCAAATGAAAAATTATTAATAATTTATTTCAAAAATATTTATGATTTTCAATAATGTTTTTAAAATATTATGTAATTTTTAAAAAAATATAATTAATATCTTTTGACTTTTTTTTTTTAAGTTAAAAAAATAATCTTATTATTAATATCATACTTAAAAAATACTTTTATAAGTTTAAGAGCTTGTGATTGTAAAGTAGTTCATGAATTGTTCACAGTGGTAGAAGAAATAGGAAGCCGAGAAGAGGCGCGAAGCGGCGAGACTGTAAAGGAGAAGTTCCGGAGCAGTGCAGTTAAGAAGGAATCGCGGACTTGCCTAGTCCCGTAATCTAATAAAGAAAATACTTTACAGTAAAGTAAAGAAAAGAAAAGGAAGAAGACGAGAGTTGACAGTGTGTATTTGAAGGGGGAATCCTGATTCATTCGACAGGGCAGCTAAGCTAAGGGCCGAAGAAGAAGAAAGATGAATGGAAGGACAAAGATCAGTAAAAGAGTTAATAAATAGGTTGAATTAGTTTACGGAGAACTAACGGAAAGCTTTTTGATGGTAAGATATCTATACTAAACAGTTTGTTCCATCGATATACTAAAATAAATATTTTTTTTAATTTTTAAAAAACGTTTGAAAGTGTTTTTGAATTAAAAAAAATTCAATATAATAAAACTTTTGAAACATCGACAGTAATTTTTAAATATAGTTGTAAGTTAACATTTTAATTTGGATTCTCCGATGGTAGCAACTTCAATGAATCCGAGTCCCTCTTCCTGTAGTTTTAAAAGTTTCGATTTGGTCTCTATAATTTAGATTATATTTCAATTTAACCCCTCCGGTTGGTTAAATCTCACAAATAATTCTTAAATTATTTTTTTACCTGCTCCGTTTTAAATGCAAGCACAATAATTTCTTAAATGACACAATTAGATGTGAAAGCTAACTCTATAACGTGACTACTCATGACATGTGTAGTAAACAACGTCACTCACTTAGGATGCTTTTGTTCTTACTTGAAAATAAAATGTTAAATTGTATAAAATAAACGGTAAGTGACCCATAATTGTGACCATATCATCATGAAAGTATGGAAAGGTCATATTGGTAATCTCCATCCTGATCAAATCGTCAAGTTCTCAAATACGTAGTTATAATTATATCGTCACGAAAGCATAGAATGGTCATATCGTCAAATTTATATAAACTCATTTTATCATGATCATACATATACATGGGGTCTCACAGACAAGAAAACCGGCTTTATAACTCATGATGCGTTATTGTAATCATTTCATTTCATAAAACGTTCACATCAACCTTGTGGATAGCATACATGTATGATTTAAAATCATAGCTTGTTTGTCTTTACATAGAAACGTTAACATCAGTCGCATGACTAATAAAATTATAACGAGCATTCGTACAAGAATAGTATCATGGTATAACATATTGCGAATAGTTCATCCAACCCAGCATAAGTATATAACATCTTAGCAGTGAATTTACTTACCTCGATTACAGCTTGTAACTTTCTTTAATTGTTTATCACACTTTAAAAGGACAATTTCAATCGATAGCTAATTACTTTAGTCGAACGTTTATTTTTTAGAAAAATTAGCACTTCTCATAATTATTAGTATCGTTAAAATCAACTAAAAAACAATTGAAAATAGCCCAATTCGAGCTAAAACACATCGAACGATGCTTAAAAGGAAAAAAAAAAAAAAAAAACTCGACCTAAACTAGGAGATTGAGTTGAGACGAGATTAGGCTAGTCAAAATCTCTCGAAATAGTCTAATTCCTTGAATTCATAGTTGACTTTGACAAAATTTCTTGTTGACTGTACTCATTGACTGTTGACTTTGATTATTGAATGATGATTGTACACATACACCGTTGACTTTGACGGAATTTATAGCACTGCAATTTGACACACTTGTTCTCCTTGGTGTGTGGTTGCCTATTCCTCCTGCACCGACGATTTGTGTGATGACGACGATGAATTTAAAAAACTGAACATACTGACTCATCTAGAGATAAAGATGAAGTTACAAAAGTCAAAGTTTTTTCCTCTTTTAAACTAAAATTATAATAAATACTAGAATTGTTGAAACCGACTCAAACAGCTATCTAATGCAATTCAATTAGACCATTCAAAAAAATTAAAATATCCTGATTTTGATTTTTTAAATTGACATTAAATTTAAATGTCTAATAAATTTTATGTGATAAATATTGGTTTAGTTTTTTTTAATCTAATAAATTTAATATCCACAAAGTTTTATTTTATGTCCAACATATTAAAATGTAAATACTTAATAAGTTTATTTATATAAATTAAAAGTTTAAAATTATATTATAACTTTACATAATAAAACTTTTAACGAAAAATTACAAAATGAATATTCAGAGATTAAAAAAAAGAAAATCCTGAGAGAAAGAGAATGCGAGTGGAAGCGGAGGAGTTGCCGCCGTCGATCCCGGCGGCGGTCGCTGTGTATCTGACGGTCACCGGAGGAATCGAAACCCACCGCCGTCACCGGAGGGCAAAAGCAAAGATCTACAAACAGGGCACGTAATCTGAAACTCATCAATCCACGTATCCAAACACTCCCGATGGAAGACATGGCAGCAATTAGAGAGCTCTCTCATCGCCTCCGATCTCTCCATTTCGTTCAAACAGATCGTACACATCCGATTCTCTTCTTCTCCGTCGTTTCCCCCAAATTCAATCCCCTGTTTTGCAGCAAAATCCCCAAACTCGACGATTGGGAGGCTGTTCTTGATCCTGGCCTGCAAATCAGCCACCGGAACGGTGACCAGCGAAGGGCAGGGGCCATCGGTGAGGAAGAGGTAACTGGTCGGAGGCTGGAAGGGAGAGTCGGCATGGTGCTCCGGCGAGGGCTTGAGGAGGCCGAAACGGAGAAGGATTCTGGTGAAGAAATGGAGGATTTGAGAGCATCTGTGGCCGTTAATGGCGAAATAGAAGAAGCCCATCAGATTTTCGTGGATCTAACTGAACCAAATTCCAAACGATCCCACTGCGAACCCACGTAATATATTTATCTGGACTGGTTTTTCAATTAATATATTCATTTTATAATATTTTAATATTTCACACTTTCAAGTTTGTATTTAGAAATTCAATTGTTTTTTCAATATTTTGTGGGCCTTCTAATAATTTTAGATATTTTATGAATCGACCACTAGAACCACTTGAACCCAAAAAGTTTACAGATGGGTTGAGTCGGGTTGAGTCTAAAAATGTCTTACTCTAATTCAACTTAGGGACTCGCCAATTCTCCATGTCCATTCTGTTGAGGATTATTGGGACTGAGTCCGGTTAATTCAGGGAATGATCATAGGTTTATAAGTGATGAATACTATCTACATTGGTCTGAGAGGCCTTTCGGGGAAGTTCAAAGCAAAGCCATCATGTCAATAAAAGCCTCAAATATCGAACATGCGAAAGGAGACGATCCTAGGTATATAAGTAAGAGACCCACAATCTCAACATCCCATACGTGGAATTTTTTTTTTTTTTTTTTTTTTTTTAATTACAATATTGGGCTTTTATACGTGGTATCACAACGTCTTGCAATTTTGGGCTTTTCGTAATAATTGATATTGGGCCCAGTTCTTGTGTAATCAAAATTTATATGATCAATTTAATTAGTTCCCATAATGAAATTTTAAAAAATATAAAACATTTATTGAAATAAGAAAAGGGTTTCTGTTGTGAAAAAACGGAACGTTTTATGTCATTTGCGGGGTTTATCCACAAGAAGTTTTGAGAGCTCTCTGTGTTTGCTTATCCATGGCGTCCTCCCTCTCCATCTATCATCCATTTTCTTCTAAACTTACTGCTAATTCCAAGCATCTTTCCTCTTCCTTTCTTGCTTCACCCTCTTCAGGGTTGTCTTCAAAGTTCAATTTCTCGCTTCGATTCTTCAGCCATGGCCAATCTTCGTCGCTAATCTCTCCCACTCCAAGGCGTCTCAGTGTTGTCTCAATGGCGCCTCCTAAAGCCAAGCCTGGTGGAAAAGCCAAGAAGGGTAAATTTCTTATTCGCATAAACCCTTAATTTTTTTCCACATTGTTCTTGATTGAGCTCTGGTTTTCTTTAATTTGGTTTTGGGGGTTGCAGTAATTGGGGTGATTAAGCTTGCTCTGGAGGCTGGAAAGGCTACCCCAGCTCCTCCTGTTGGCCCTGCTCTTGGTTCTAAGGGTGTTAATATTATGGCTTTCTGTAAGGATTACAATGCCAAGACTGCCGACAAGGCTGGCTACGTTATTCCAGTTGAAATTACTGTTTACGATGTGGGTTTGTTCTTCCTTTCTCTGTTGTTGTCTGTGAATGATTTGCTATGCTTTCCTTTGGGAATTTCTTGATTGTTTGATTTGGAACAGGATAAAAGTTTTACTTTCGTGCTCAAGACTCCCCCTGCTTCAGTTCTTCTTCTCAAGGCTGCTGGTATTTCCCTTTTGAACTGTTTGATGTTTCTTTTGGCTGTTTTATTTTCTTATTTTGTGTGTTTATCTGCTGATATGTCTATCCAACAGTAACTTGTTTAGATTGGCTTAGAGTGGATTTAGATAAAATTGTAGCGGCAGAGATCAATGT